GGCAAGTAATAAACACGATTGACCAAATGACAAAATAAATACGAATCGTTGATCACACGAATTTCATTCGGGGTCGCCTGAAGTAGTGGTTTTCAGAATCATTTTATGATTTAATCTCTGAAAATAAATTGATAGATGATCGATTCGTCGAGAAGGCACGTTGATCGAGTAACGATGGACCAGTTATAGGCAAGGATATATTTAAAAGAGTTCACGCGAATCGCATTTAGCCGAAGCGATTTTCATCATTGGGTCAATTTCGCCCGAAACGATCGAGGTGGAAACGACTCGGCAGGTATACGGGACCGAGGCCAGCAGCGATTTCCGAGAGGATCAAGATTTCATAAGGCTCCTTTCAACGCCGCTCGTTATTTATATCCGTAAATTGATAATTAGACCCGGTCTCTCTTGGCCGCGGAAATTGATTTCTCTTTGTATTCGACCACGCGCACACGCGCGAGGCCCACTCAATTTATCCATCCATCCAGCTTTCTCACCTCTAGTTTCTCTTTTTCTCCTGGTTTTTGTTTTTTTTATTCCTCCCTTTTTGTTTTTCGTAGTTCACTTTACTTTTTTCCCCTCCTGTTTCGGTTAAGTCTGGGCTGATTGGTGGGGTCTGGCAGTCGCGGATCAATGGCGATTTAATTAAAGATTATAGCTCGACGAAAATTAAGATTAATCTCACCCCAGCTGCGGGAGAGAAGAATAAAAGGGGCAGGGAGGGCACGGGGAGTGACGTCGAAGCGGTTTGCTCGTCGACCTCGCGGCCAACGGCCTTAATTATTCGATGGAGACAGATGGTGGGGGAATTAGAGGGAAAGAGAAGAAAGGTGGTTGAAAGAAAGCGTAGGATCGAGCAAGAATGAAATATATAGGCGAAGATGAAGCATGAAAATGTAGAAAGAAAAGGTGGGCTAGGAATGAAACAACGAGAAATTTGGAACATCCTGGAATCGTGATAGAGGAACTGGGAACTCTGACGGTGGATACGGGAAATTAAGAAAGAGGAAGTAAACATAAAAGGGAAATTCGTGGGAAGGAGAGGAGGAGGTGCGGATGAAAGGAGCAGGGTGAATCTGTATGCGCGGGTATAGAAAGAACGCATGGAGCGGGAAGAAAGAGAGATAAATGAACAACAGGAGAAAGAAAAAGATTACCAAAGGGGGTGATACTGTGGCCAACGACGCCGACGACGTTGCACTCCGTCGAGACTCATGACATCCGGAAAACGAGGTCGAGGACAACGACGAAGATCTTAGCACCCTCCGGCTACCCGGGATGTATATGTATGTAGGTGGAATAAGAGCATAGTGCTGCGCGTTCTACGAAAGAAACCGTCGCGAGCCACGACAGAAGTTTTAATGCGCGCGCGAGTTAAAGATAAAGATGCCACCGTGAGAAAAATATCGCGAATACGCGCCACCGTTACCCCCGATCTAACATTTCCAGCGACGCGTGTTGCTAAAATGACGAAACCGTGTACACGGGTTAACGAGAGCATTAACACACATTTTACAACGAGACCAGCCCCTCCCACGTCCGTTCACCGTTAAACGACACGAAATCCAGTACGTCGACGATAAACGAAAATTGTGGGAACGTTGGACATAACGAAAATCGAATCGACTTGGATCATATTCTGATAAGGGCGAAATATAAATGGGGCGCGTACAATTAAGTCGAACTTTTCGCTGAACCCATAAGCCAGGCATTTGAACTACAGTAATTCGGCGAACGGAGAACTGGGAAACTCCAGCTACTTAAGCGTCCCGTGTCTCTCAGTACGCGCCTAAAATCTGCAACGGCACTGCAGAGTGGGTATGTTCGTGCTACTTTTACTTATATCTCTTTCCCTGTGTGTCTCGAACCCTTGGCGGTCGTGTGCGCGCCGGGGTATATGTGCGGCAAGCCCTCCGCGTTCCTGCGCCCTCGCTAAATCGAAAAACTTTGCCACTCGACGCTCAAGTCAAGAGTAGAACGAATCGAAATAAAATGATAGTCGGTGGTACGGGTTGGGATTAGGGCCAGCTGGTTGCGGTGCTTCAGTATGATAACGGTCGAGAGTGCTGTTGCACGGAAACGAAAGAAAGAGACTCGGCTCTTCATAAGCGTTGGAATGAAACGCTATGAGACACACACGTTCGTGGTGTTCCTCGAAATTACCAGTTTCGTTGCCTCCCGTGCCACCGTTCCCCGACCGAGAATAAACCCACCCATTAAATCAGTTTCGAAGAAGTTCCGAGTGTGTCTCGTGCGATGAAACTCATTCTTGGACTTCATTTTTAATTATCGTCCAACTTTTGGGGAAAAAAAGGAGAGAAGAGCTAGGAAAATATTGAACGGGTTTTTTTTATTAGAGTTTCAAGAAATATAGTTCGAAATAGTGAATGATTGAACATTCTTAATAGGTTAAACCTACCTCAATTTCCTTCCAATTATCTGAAGTGTATTTATGGAGTGTACCGAATGAAATATCTATATCAGGTAGTTAGCCATGGAAACCCTTCGCAAAAAGTCTACAAAAAGCTCTGAACCTTCAGAATTGATGAACCGTGCTCGCAATCCGAGGGGTAATTTAAATTTTTTGTTTTGGGAAACATCGATTTGGCTACGAGCGTTCTTGACGCAGACTTAAAAAAATGATAAACGGATTAACCGGTGTACCTTGATACGCGAATTAGGCTGTACGTAAATTCTTTAGAATTTCGCATTTGCGGCTCGCTGGAATTTACATATAAAAAGCTCGATAAACATCAATTTGCATGGGATCGTGTTTATGCCGGGAAAGGTGTAACGTATGGACAAAGTGACGCGCTCATTGACGTATCATTAATCAAAGTTTAAAGCAAGTATAGGTACTGGTAAAGGGTTTAAATTATCGAACTTTCTAGGAAAGCGGCATACCCCGTTATGGTATTGACACATTGATCGATCACGCAACTACGAAGAAACGCTTTAAATGACGTTATATTATAAAAGAATATCCGATTAATCTTTAAACATGTTCGCCGGAGAAAAATGTAATTAGACTAAAAAAATGACGGAGCGGAGAGCGTTCTCGATCGAAATTTTATTTTCGTTCACCGTTCGCATGGAAATAATGGATAGGACATAAATGTTATTTGGCTAGAGAAGACGGTTTAATAGTCGAGTGTTGATCGGTGGTAGTATTTCGCTGTGTAAAGCATTCTGTCGCGTCGCCATCCCCCCAGCTGGTTTCTTCTTCTCGTACGTGGCAATCGACTCTTGCCTGAACCAGTCGGGGGCAATAAGACGAGAGTACGCCACCTGTTTCCAAGTGTTATGAAACCTCCGGCCAGTACCACCGTCTTTCACAGCGACAGCTTGCCACGTAGATACACATTGTACACATGGATAGATCCCGGCTACAATCCCCCTCGCTCTCTAACTCCGTTAACACCAACTTCTACCCATCAAGACCATTACCGGGTAAGGTGACTCTTTGCAGGTCCACCCAGATTTCCTCGCCAAATATTGCGGGTGACGTTTAATCAGATACTATTCTTCGTTAATCGGTCTGATCCGAACCGAAGCAAATTGCAGACCGTTTCACTTTCCTCTTCGGTTATTAGTCTTTCGCGAGAACGTTATTTGTATTCAATTGTTCATCGAATTCCTTTACACGTTTCGCCGTTTATACCGGAGAATTATCTATCGATTCTGATAACGCGTAACTAACCATGCGGTAACGCCAGATGCAGTAACGCCTGCTACATAATATCTCATCCTCTCTGTACGAACTACAACTACATTTACGCCGAGTCGAACAAAGACACCGGTCGAATAAATGGAGGAGCTTAATCTTCCCCGTACGCGATCTGGGACTTAATGAATGCGAGTAATATGGAAACGGCACGGGCGCTGCTCAGTGCTCTCTTATTGCCGGTCTTTATCGCGACTGCCTAGAAATTCCATACAGATGCATCATACGACGTTGATTACTCTCGTTCCGATCAATGAGCATCATCGTTGCGTTCGGCAATCAACAATCTGTTTCTCCAATAATCACAAATGGAAGTGTTACGTGATTTTTTGTTTAATTTGTTTAATTTGGTAATGGAAAGGTTTTTTAATTCTGACGGTGACGCGTTGCTCCTCTGTATTGGAAATCTCTATACGCGAGAATGGAGCGAGTTTAATTAATAATTAGTTTTTCTTGGGAAATCTACCCACATCGTATCATCCGGAGGCAACGACCTCGTCCAGGCCGGTGCATTCCAACTCCCTAAAGGGTTGAAAAGGTTACCTACGTGCGTAAGTAACGAGGACGCGAAGGATTAAAAAAGTCCAATTAAAAGGAATGGTTAAATACTTAAACTTGATTGTGCGCGGAGGTTCAAAATTTCTCCGTCAACTCTAATAAAGGCGCGGGAATTTTAACAATGCGGGTACCTAAAAAATGTGACGACTACCGATCGCGGACCTGTTTTACAGAGAGCGGTTTCGTTTGAAATAAAAAATTTTGGCACCTTTCGTGCCTGAAATTTTAATAGGAAGTTATTCGGTGTTATTGATAACGGTATTATGCACCAAACACCCGTCAATATCCATTTTGTTTCCGGTTTTATTTTCAGGAAAACTGAGCGGCTGCGATTTTTACATTCACCCGTTTCGCGTTTCCGTCGCTGTTTAATCGCTGTGAACGTCGAGTTCGTGGTGCAAACTTTATTTCACGCCCCGCAACCATTACGAGTCCCGGCCTTACCCTTTTTTCACAGTTACTGAAATATCGTGTGTAGTAAATTTGTGCCCGCGGGGGTGTCAAACGACAGTTGCGTTGATTTTTTAAATGTCATCGATCTCTCACGGCCTCGAAATAAACGCTCGGAATCTCTTGTCAACTCGAAAATCTTTAAACGAAATAATCCATATTTTAGCACCCATCCTCTCGCCCTCCGCAGATGTTCGTTAGATCTTAAAAAATAGTTATTTACTCTCGTTACCGCATAATCTCTTTACATGATGTGTTTCTGTTACAGGAGGACCACGAACATTTTCAGCTAGGCCTTTCCGAGGAGGTTGGTTCGTTTGCTTTTACAATTAGAATTAGTTGGTAGACTTTCCCTCTAAATCTCTCTCTCTCTATCTCTGTCTCTCTCTGTCCCTGTACTTCCGTGTGTAATTTCATTTCACATACGTTTCTCTCTATATGTATTTACATTCGGATCTGTTATCTGTGCCTACATGTCTAAACAGTGTTTAATCGTGTATTTTTTATTTCCTACTCGTATTCAATCTTCTCCTCTTTTATCTGTTTCAATCCGACTATTTTTCTTTCACCGTTTAACAGTCAAATCGCCTCTTTCTATTTGAGAACGCTTCACATTATTCCTTGCTCCGTATGTTCTGTTTAAACAATTAAATCTGTAATTTCTTTCAGCGTCCACGCTTAATTAGTGAGTAGAATTTGTTAAAAAGAGCACGATACCATGTGTCAAAACATAATGTATATCGGCTTAACGCGTTCGTATATGGAATCTGTGTACACGGTGTTGTGATCCGTTTTGTCTCGGAGTATATTAAATGTATTTCTGAGAGAGCCGGTGAAAAATTGCTTTACGAAGCGATTCTCGTCGAGGAGGAAGGAACGAACGAACGCCGCGGAGGCGCGCGGCTCGGGCGCAACGATGACGACGACAAGATTGTCGCTCGACTGACACCTCGAGTACCGAAGTCTCGTTGCTTCAGGGCGGCAAACATTCGCGACATCCATTGTCAGTACCACCGACGACGGAGAAGACGGCGACGGCCGACGATGTGCACTCGACGACGCTCCTCACGTTCCTGATCGTCGTTCTTCCAGGACAACCGCTCGGGTGTAAAATTTCTGCGCGAGTGGAAAGCAAACGAGATAACGTTTCGAGAAGAAATTCAGAATAGTAACCCTCGGACCAAAATATGAATGCATTAAACCACCCTCCTCTCGCATTTTTCTTTCGTTCCATCTCGAAATCATATAAAATACTTTCGCCAACGCTATTCCCGGTTATTTCACTAATACAGACGACGTATAGAAACTCCAGATATATATTTTTTCGTTATTTCCAATAAATTGATTGTGCATATTAAAAACCGAGGATCGGGTATTACGGGATTTATTTCTGCAGATCTACTAAAGGTTAAATTGACACTTGTGTCTGACGCATACTAAACGTTATTAAATTAGGAGTGGCAGATTGGATTAACGTAGCTTACGCTCATAAGACGGCTTGGTCTTGCGGATTAAAGCGTGAGCCTTGTAAATGGAAAAGCTGCGGAAGGATGAGGAAAGCAATAATTGATTAATTCACATAATATACAACGGACTTTGCCCAGTCATGATTTTTTAATCGAATTTTAATGTCCGGCGATTGATTAATGTTCCACTAAGGATTATTAATGTTTAAGAAATCCTGCAACATCGATGTCTCTGAACGTGGAACCGAAATATATGTTTAAGGTTTAACATATATGTATACTTGCATCCCCTGTCTATGAGCGAAAAAATGAATATTTAGTTAATCGGATTTACACAAATCGAAATGACATTACGGATGATGTATCGTTAATAATTTCGACTCGATGCATATAGAGACATGCATTACACTTTTAATGGCAGTATGACGTTCCAATTAAATTTTAAAAATAATTAACAACGTGGAATTTTTTCTGAAATATGAACGAACAGAGATACGAGTTTAAAAACTGGTCTGTTAACATCTGCGTGATCTCTACCGTGAAGGCAGAGGTCGAAGACGATCCGAGTTTCCAGGGCGCTCAAGCGCGAAAAAACGAACGAACCTCGACGAATCTGTGGGTTACAGTAATTTCTACGATTTATGGCAGTTAAAAAGAGGATATCGTTTACGAAACGTCGGGAGTGGGTGAATGGATAGCGAAAAAACATTGGCTGGGCGGAGGTAGATAGATTTATTCATTCGTAGGAGAAATGAAATTTCAAAGAGGCAACACCTGTGGCCCGGTGCGTTCAGGTTTCGCTCCGGAACGCTGTAGCGAACAACCCTTTCCAGTGTCTTGACTGATATACGGAGCCTTAACGAAATTCCTCGACTAACTTTTTCGCGTCGGAAACTGTACTATCGAGTTTCGAATATGTACCGGCACGAACTTCGTTACGTTTCCCTCCATGGAAAGAATACGAAATCGAATACGCGCTCGCAAAGTGTTTGACGAAAGTATCGGACTCTCGTCGCCGGTAGCGCGCCGAGGTAATTTATAGAACTCGGTCTAGAAATTGGCGTCGCCGTCGACACGTCGGAACGGATCCGAGCATAAATACGTCCGAGAATGATGACGGCGCGCGTGTAGACCTGCGAGCGGCCAGATACAATCAGAGCGAAATCAATTGTAATCAAGACCAACATATAAATCAAATGGTTCGCGAAGGCGGGGGAGGTTTGGAAAGGCAGGAACTGTATAGCTTCCTCTTGAATGATTTGTTACCGGCACGCTTTTGGAAGCTCGGCATAGTGTCTTCCTCGCTTTTGTCCCCGCCTCCATTCGCAACCTGTCACCACCCTCGAAAGCCCATTACCTCATGAGAACCGGAAGGGAGCCTGTCGTCTAGATAGCTGTACGACGCGAGACGGCTGTGGCGGCCCGCGGGGGGGAAAACTTCTCTCGTATCTTTTCAGGTTTCGGCTACGAGGAAACAATATCCATTGCGTACGTGCACCCCGTGATACGAAACGACACCCGCCGCGACGGATATTGGTTGCTACCGCTTGAAAGCATCGAGAAACTTGCCTTTTTATGACACCTGTCAATCGTTATTCCTGGATTTTATTTCCATTACCTCAAAACGGTTTAAGGAGAACCAAGCCGCCTCGATGCCGCATGTCCTATTTCTCCGTAACCCGACCCGATCCCGATAGATGATTCCATCTATTCATCAAAAAATTAAACTCCCCTTTTTATACGGTCGTATCGATCCATAATTCATGGCCGCGTTTCGACGATCGATCGGTCGCTGAATTTTAAAATACGCGAAATAGAACTCGTAACCGAAAATTCTTTGCACGCGTACGCCTACTTACGCAACTACTCGAATTGAAAATACATATGCATAAGTATACGGCGTACAAGTTTGCGATCATGGCTCTCTCGTCGCGTCGGTGCGCGCGTTCCGCTTATTGAATTTACATGCATACATTCATAGAAATACTGTTCGGATAGAGTAGTTGGCGCACGTAGTACGTATGTACGTATCTAGCCGCGTGTTCGCAGCCAGACGGAATCGTTTACGTAGAATACGTTTCCGTGTTAAACGGCGGGCGTACGTGATTTCATTTACGATACGAAGTCACGATCGTTCTACATCCGTTGGAAATATGGCGCCTCACGTTCGTCCCCTTCGCGTCCGGTGATGCACGGTCCTGCACTCCATAAAGCACGCAAAACCGGATCAACTAGGCATTTAGTACGGAGGAACCCGGCATGAAGCCCACTTCCGGGATTCATGTGCCACGTGGAGATTCATGTTTCACCGCGAAGCCAGATTTTTCCACTTCCCTCTGGAGAAATGTTTCTCCCTTCGCCTCGGCTTTAAACAGATTTTTATTTAAGTAATTCAGAAATTCGTATCTCTTTCCGTCCCGTCTCTAGCTGTGATACAGCAAGATTTTTCAAGCTGTAACACACCGAGGCTCTCGCCCCAGTATTTTATGCCCGATTCTGTAGGAACGCGGAAAATAAAGAAACGGCGACGTGTCGGCGATTGCACTCTTGAATTGAAAAAAAGGATCTCGAGGGTAAACGTGCTATCTGCCCTTTCCACTTACGAAGTCGAGTACGTAGGTAGAGCATCGGCCAGTACCAGAAAGGGGTGAGTTCTCGAGGGGGTGGGCGAGAAAAAAGTTAAACCGTGGGCGGTGTCGGGGCAGAGGGTTCAAGAATCCCCAAATGGACGGTCATTGTGTTTCGCTAAAGAGTAAAAGAGACCAATCGATCGGTCGGCCCCGATTCCCTTTGTCTCGTCTACGCCCCGTGTCTGGTTGTACGCCACTTTGTGGTCAACCTTTGATTTTCGAGGGACCAAATTTCTTCGCATGCTACGCCCGAACCGACCTCCTTTTTCGTATTCCTTTTGCCCTCTTCCCTCCTTTTTTTCTTCTTCTCTTCCTTTAAACTCCGTTTCACCCCGTTTCCCCCTCGCCGCACTCGTTCCTCCTTCTTATCCCGTTGATACGTTTCTCTATTTCCCGACGTTGCACTCTGTTTTCCCGTGTCTCCGCTCGGAGCTCTTTGCTGCCGCACGAAAACTGCCAGTCGACTCGACCGTCTCGCCCTTTTGTCCTGGGCCACGAGAAATTTTATGGCCGATCGTACGCGCGGTACTCGGTTGAACGTTTTCTCCTCGCGAATTGATTCTCGTGATTTACCGCTCTTCCGTCTACCACGATTCCGTACCTAGGCGTGCTTGATTACTTTACCGAGTTTGACGTCCTCCGATATCGTTTAGCATCTGTACAATGATCTTACGCCGCGGTTTAACCCGTCACGGTGGCAGGTGAAATATTAATGCGAGTCGCTCGCGCGATATTTTCGCGTTTACAATAAAACCGTATCGCGAAACGAAGTACATTTATCTTCGGGAACAATGCAGCGCGCGGACCGGTTTAACAATTTCATAACTGAATTTAATAAAATGATGCACAGCTTATAAAATAAATTATTGAATAGAAGAGACTTCCGTTCGTAAGTCGTTCAGAGGGTATTGTAAAATTCGGCAGGGCCGTTTGAATAATGAAAGAACGACACGCGTGCATCGCATGAGCTCTTTCAAAGATTACGTCGAAATACCGTAATCTCTGATCAGGATTGGATTTTTTAGAATCGTCATTCGAGCCCGCAGCATGGATAAAGCTAAACAATAGAGAGAACAATAGAGGATCGAGAGACTGGTAGACGTACGCATGCAGTATCACGGTGCTTATCTATTATTATCAGCTACTAATAGCTCCTAATACTTTACATTTCTCCGCTCTATGCTCGGCTCATCATCCTCCTCGAAAGCCAG